GGGGATCAATGAAGATACAGCACTGAGCTCCAGAAGTTGACATGACACTCCAGAATGTATTGTGACAAACCATAAAGCTGCGCTGGGTGGCGTAAAGCCTATGGAAAAAACAGTTCTCATATACAAAGTTGGAACTTCAAAGACACTAAAAGAGGATTGCTACATTATTTTTTTCCAAAGCAATAAATATATATTCTTGCATTATTATAGTGTCCATGCAAAATAAAACAGATTTACACATTCCCCATAGCTTTCAGGCAAGAAAATTATTTGTCAATAACTGTAATTCAGTTAAATGCTTACCTAAGGTCCTGCACCTTTCATCTGCTCAATATTCTTGATAGAATACAAAAGGACACGGTATTTATTTCCAAATGTTGGAAAAAACACTATAATATAACGTTTCTATAATGTATAAATTATTTTTCAGTAACTGTAATTCAGTTAAATGTTTACCCAAGGTCCTGTCCCTTTCATCTGTTAAATATTCTTAAAGAAATACAAAATGACACTAAATTGATTTCCAAATGTTGGGAAAAACACTATAATGCAAAGGTTTCACACCAGTTGTATTAAATATGTTATCTCACCTCATCATAATTCTATTTTTTTCTGAAAGCTGATACTCTGAAAAAAGTTAATGGAATATATTTTTATAAACTGTTCCAAAACCAAACATAAAAATAGTTTCAACAAACCCTTGTCTTAAAATATTTTTGCATGTAATTAATGTAAATGACCTGAACATAAAAATTGCCCAAAACATTTTTCATATTTTGCATTACTGCATGGAGAACCCCGTATATATAAATTCTAAATACTTCATCAAGAGCTCAATACAGGAGGGCATTTCAAATCAATAACTCGGGTGCTGTTGTATGAAATTTCCCCCAAGAGCCTATACTCGCACACTCAGACCAAGGACTTACTGTTTTACAGCAACAAAGAAAACAGTATCAAACTAACAGGGAATTACACATTGACGTGTTATATTTTGGAAGAACACAAACAAGCACAGCATCTTATTTCCAGTAAATGACTATGAAAACTTCATCACTTAACTGTTAAACATTTCTTGTTCTGTATGGCCATTGCAAGGCTAATGTACCAGTATGAAATTCTCTTTTTACAAAAATTTAGATTTACCAGTTGTTGTTGTTGTACAGTACGTATCTGATTAGGAATGGGCAGTTGTGTTTTTAAAGTCTCAGCTTGAAGCTACAAAACCCATTACTGCACACAGGGAGAATGAGGAGGTATAGTCAGACTCCTCTGACCAGCCTACCTTCAAGCAAATCATCTTTTAACACATCACAGACAGCGTGGCTCTGTACTGGAGGTACTGGAGGTTCAGAGCTGACTGGAGGAGAGGCACCTCGCTCAACAACAGCACCACACCCACTGTTTGAGGACTCCCAGTCACAGATGACTAGTAACATGACCCAGGCTCAAACCCGGGATCACAGAGCTCAACCGGTGCTCAGGTGAGCACCTTTACCAGTTTAGCCACTCAGGAAACTCCTGTATGAAATTCTGACTTGATCTTGCCTATCACAAATACTAAAACAATCTGTCTTAGTAATCATAATCTGTATGACCAATAAGTACTGCAGTCGCTGAAGAAGCAAGATTCCTTATCTGTGTGCACATTGTGAGGTAATCTAAAGCTGGCTTTAACACTATTAAAAATTGCTTCAAACAATGAACCACTGTTACCATTCTGGAAAATTCCTATAACTGAAATCTAAATTAAAATTCAATTTGCAGCAGACATTCTCCACAAGACACACACCTTTTTTATATTAGATAACTTGAATTCTGCTGAGAATCAAGCATCACTACTTAAAAAGTTCAGCGCAACCCCAACGCAATGTTGCCAGAACCACATCAATGTTCATCATATCCAGAATTGGCACAAAAGAAAAAGAATGACTTATCTTTCTCAATTCTTCTCTTTCAGTACACACTGAAAGGAGACTTGCACATTTTTCTTTCAAATTTATCAAAAAGTTTTCTCTCCTGAATCATACACAAGACATCCTAAGCCCTACCACAACCTAACTTCGCAAAAACACTTGGCGATTGTGGCCACCAATAAGGAGCTTTGGGAGGCATGACAACTAACCAAAAAAGACTGGCACTAGCCCTTGTTTTTATCAACACTGCATTCACACAAGCACCCTGCGCCTTTTGTGAAACATGTTAGATCAGACAGAAAACGTACAGGCCTGGGAAAGGGTTCATCACAAAAAGTCACGAGCAGAATCAGACTTGTTTGGTCACCGCAGCAACACCGTAAGCTGAAGTTTCAACTGACTTCAAAATGTCATTTGGCCAGTAACTCTCACACTCTCCCCCGTGTGCGCTCACAGGTTTCCAGCATTCTCCAAGTTGTCCTGTTATGTCATCCGCACTGCCTTCGCTAATTCTGAAATGGCTCATAACAGAAAGGCCTTGCACAGACAGGAGTACACTGGCAGGGGAACGCCGATTTAAAGGTAAATGTGCCACGTGAACTTGGAGTAGACAATGAGCTAATCGACAATCAGGACAGCACAGCTATTTTTTTAAAAGGCTGCTTGAGCACATACCTTTTTTTCTGTGCAACTACTACCTAGGCAGTACTTAGAAAGGCAGGCATTCATCACATCGACAGGAATTTGCACCCAAAAAATAAGAGACCATTCACAGTGCAGCCCCTCTCTCAAGTGTCATGGCTGGGCGGCAATGCTGACTCCTCAGGGCAATGCCAGGTAAAAATGACACTAAATTGATTTCCAAATGTTGGGGAAATGTTGCTAGATAATTGGGTGCGCACACATGTCTGGCCCCCGCCTGGTTTGGAAAGTGTTGAGGGTTTGGAGGGCCATAACACGCAAGGGAGTACATCTCCAGCACAAATACATCAGGCCACATAACAGCTCACAAAAACAACTCCTTTCACTAACATCCCAGGAGGAGGTGAGACGGCACAAGGCAAGAACAAAGCATTCTTACATTCACCCATTTTGTTTTAAACAAGATTTAAAGAACTATTACAAGTTAAAAGTTACTTTAGGATCCACAGAGAAGCGCATTCTATATTGTAAATTTGAAGCACTGCAGAGCGATAATCGCTTCTTATTCTGTACAAAAAGAGACAGTACATGACCTTTGAAATTTTAAATACATTTCTATGGAGTAGGACATTCAAGTTTGTCTCGTAATTAAAATATTATGTCAAATAAATAGTCATTATCAGCCATCTGCTCTATGCTCAAATACTGAAACAAGTTCATTACCCTACACAATGGGTGACCTTTAATAACCCCAAGCTGTTTCGGCTTGTCATACCCTACTTTATTACATGATGTAAAACTTCTATTCAGCTTTGCAATCACAACAATTTTTTATGGACTACAATTGGGTTGAACGACAAAGAGCAATCCATCCACTGAACACTTCTAAAGCTGCTTCAGAAAAAGTCCTTATAAATCGCCGCAGATGAGGATTCTTTGTTATTATGAGTCAGAATCCCCCATGTACTACATGCGCAGAAATAAAGCCGTGGCACAGAAATTTGCGACGTCGGGGGGTGCTTTTCCAGAAGCATTTTCCACCTGCGACAAGACCGGCCTCTCACAGCAGACCGTTAGACCTGACCCTGCTGCCTTCCAGAGGACAAAACTCCGGGGAAGTGCAGAAAGAAACGCTCGTTTGTTTCGACATTGGGTAAAACAACTTGCACCACGCCGCGATTTCAAAACGAAATACCTGCATACCTGTCACTTGATTTTAAAATCAACCTTACTGTGGCGTTTCGCCAGATCCTTTCGGCCAACTATCCAGTACTGGATAGCGAGGCCTGTACAGCTTTCGTTCACATTTGTTTACGCCACCCCCCCCGTTTAATCTTGTGTTTCGACACAAAGAAGCTGCAATATAGAAAGGTTTTGAAAAAGAAATTGCAGACCACTAGGATTTGGATTTAGGTAATCCACTTAGATTACCATGGATGGCTCTGTCTTAAAATGGCAATGCTGAGATCACAGAAAATAGGTCACGCGCACAAACAGCAGCCGCCGTTCCTGAAACGCTGCGCATATGATCGTAATGCTTAATTGTATTACATCTAACACACGTGTTCACCTCTTTCATTCCAAATAATAACCTTAAAGACTTGATTTAATAAGGTTGCTCCAAAGTAAGTAATTCCATGTAAATCCCAGATATTACAGCAAAATTCCATTTGATAAGAAAAGGCTCATCTCCTGGAATTGGCCAATCCTTCTGTCAGATAAGCACAGGCAATTTACACATGAAATCAGATTGTCTAATTCCTTGATGAATCACTATGCCAGTCCCATTTCCATATTTCGCTGCTTATACTCCAAGTACAATTAGACCACTATCAGGAAAAGGCAATCTGCTCCCATGTGGTCTGCAGTCGCAAACTTGACGTCTTGCTTGAGATTTTTTTACTTTGCTCTGCACCCATCCTCCAGTCTGGACCTCACAGCGCGGCGAAACGCTGAAAAACGCTGCTGTACTTCTAACATACGCAAGCAGGCAAACCAGTGAACCACAACTGTACCTTGGAATTGAATGACTACTAATAAAAGAACAAACAGCACGATCACCTGGAAGTAATTAACTATGTGGAAAATCCCTTCTTACTCTACATGGGCTTGAACTGCTTCTGCCATAGCTGCCTCGGAAATGTCTGTTACAGCCCCATCTCCTTAACAAAAAACCCGCATAGCCACTGGCTTCCTGACGGCTGGGAGCAAGGCTTTTGTGATGGAAAATCATACTGATGGTGTGACCTGCACCCCAGGGGATGGTCAGCTTCCACAGACAGTACTGTCACCGCAGAAAAAAAAAACTCTGTCACTGCTCCCAGATGCGCGATGTGCCTTGTCCAGAGAGCTGGGGGGGGGGTGGGGGGGGGGTGGGTGGGAATGGCTGTTTCCTGACGAAAGAGGCTTTGAGGGTCTACTTGGCAAGAATTACCTACTTACCCATTAGGCTGGAGTTCATGAAAGGTGTCGGGGACAATCCTTCATGGGACACTAATCGACTGTCAGTCAAGTGATCACCATAATGAGGACTGTCTGCAAACCCCTGCAGGAAGAGTATTACACAGATTATTAGCCGGTGCCCCTAATTGAGTGCGATGACACTCCTCTAATTAGTGCGCGTGACTGCAATTGGTCGATCGTCGCTGCAAACATTAGCTTTCCCATTTGTGTTGCGTCTTGCCTGGTGTTAATCATAGGTTTGTCGCCGGTCTGGTCTTGAGAAAAAAAAACAACCAAAACACTAGCCTTAAAGATAACAGAAAAGACCCAGCAACAAACTGGACTTTCGGTTCCCATAATATTACCGCAGACCGCAAAACAAGGTTAAACAGGTACTGCCTCATCTTTCAGGTCTGAGTAGTGGTAAGGATTTGAAAAGATCCAATTTAGGCCGATCATATATTTATTATAATTATATATATTTACACAGTTTCCTAAAATTGTTTACACACGCTGGGAAGCATTGAGTCTATACATTCTACCACACAGCCCACAGCCAGTAAACATGACCACAAACGATCACTCTGTGCTGCTGGCCTTGACTCCTGTGATGATTTCAATACAGAGACACTGTAGGGTACTCATCAGATCCCAGAGCCCACAACTGTGGCAGAGCACAGCATGACTGCTTAGCAGTTCTATCCAAATAATAAATTAGTTGATTGCAGATAAAGGCTTACTGTATGTGTAAGCTTGACTGCTGCAGAAAAGGGTGTATTTACAACAGTATTCAAAATTTCAATTTTTTTTAAAAAAAGAACCATTGCCCACATTCGAAGAAAGGTGAGGGATTTTCTTTTAGTGTTCCCTGGCTTACTGTCGCATCATTTCTGCAGAAGATTCTCATGCCACCAGTTTAGAGCATTAAAATAAGCAGAACTGCTAAATAGGCGTATATTTTTTTTCCTGAAAGAAGACCACTATAACTTGTTTCACCCGTCAGGTGTCTGTAAATTCAAAACCTTTCTTCCTCCACTGTACTTTAAACAGTGCCCTTTCATGAAAGCTATCAGCTATAAGGCTTTGGCCTAAATATTGGTCACACTTGGATCTTTTAAAAACTCTGGGTCTCCTGCAATAAAAGATACTCTGTAGCAATACTAATCCTAACCTCTCAAGAAATCTGTCTGGACTCGAGACGAGCGAGTCTGGTGCAGGGCTGCACAATCTGTTCCCCAAAACTGCATTAATGTGGATGGGATGAACAGCAAAATTGCACACAGTCATGGGGCTGCATTTCTATAGACTTCCAGAACTCCGGCCGTATGAATTCGACACAAACTAAAAGCTAAATCTTATTATCCGTCTTTTTTTTTGGAGGGTGATCGAATAATTTCACTGGCAGCAGGATGCTGGCTGCATCAAAGCAGTCTGCTGAGATTTCCCATTGTGCTTGTATGGTCACTGCTCCACGACAAAATAAAATAACACAACCGCCCCCCGCACCGAGGAAGTAGGGAAATAAACTGTGCAGGAACACAACAATAGCGTACAGAAAGTCTGGAAATTTCGTAACAGTAATTGCAGGTTGAATTCCTGTCTGGAAAACAAAGGCAGAAAGAAAGCCGTTCTTAAGGTTCAACAGTTCTTCATTTCCAAGTCCATTTTACAGACAGGTTTTATATCATAACCTAAATAAGGCATGGCCGCTGCCTGGATCCTGAAGGGGCTGACAGGATCCTGGAGGGAGACAGGAGTGAAAAGGCTAAGGAGTAGTGGACAAGAGCTCGGAGCAACGGCGTGCGTCCGCGCCGTCCGCCGGGGCTATTAGATCATCAATCACAGGACACTCATCACTTCCCGCTCTCCGGGGCCAGCATTCAAGAAGGCCTTAATGGGAACGAAGCCGGGCTTCGCTACCTCGGCCGCACGCCATCAGCTCAGCCAGGGGCCAGCAACTCCGGGCTGAATAACTGTCGCTTCACTGGGGCCACTTAAGGATGCGAGTCACCGCCCCCCCTCGCTATGCCACCTTAAAGTCAACTGGCATCGAGTCTCGTGTCCCAGGTGAGTCTTTGCCTCGGTTTACCCACTTCAGAGTCGCCGAGGCGCCTGTGACGGACACGGGGGAGGCAAGCTCGCTGACACGCGCGGAGCGGCAGAGGCGACGCCCGGGGCTGTCCTGCGGTGACCGCTGGCGCGGCCCCACGCGGCTCCCAGATGGGGAGCGGGCAAGGCCGACACGGCGCAGCAGCGGCGCCCCCAACGAGAGGAGTGAACTATTACACGTGCGTGTGCGTGGGGGGTGGGGGGGCGGGAACCTTTGACAACAGAAAAGGCTGGAGTTACTTCAGGGAAGTGCTCCCGTCTGTCTCTCTGCCACGCGGCATCAGTTACTGGAAATGCTCTTTTTTTATCTATAAAAGGGATGAAAAACGGGGAAAAAAATAACCAATTTCAGACTGTTTACTGGCAGCTGTAAAATGAAAGGAGCAGAGCTTAATGCTGTCCATCAGCAAGGAGATACTCCATAGTGTTGCTGGTTATACCTACGTGCATCTATAGAATTTTAACATATTTGAATTGAAAGAATACATTTGAAATTATTTTTTTTCTGTTCATACTTTCTTCATAGAACAAGTTACATTTGCTGTGTTCTGTCTGCATTTCATATGTCAATGAAGTCTGGTCTGACCTCCAAGACCTTTGATTAACCACAGGCAGGAAGGTCACGACCTTTCACCTTCCACCAATGGTAACACTCTGCTCTGAACTCTGCAGCCACAGAGAAGACTATCTGCACCCCCTGCCCAAGCTCCATTAATTCAGAATATTTACTGCTGGTCGCTGGGATGAATAACTCACTGGTAGGCAAACAAATGCGGTTTAACAAACAGTGTTAAACTAAATGAATTATTGACAAATTCTGCTTCAAACAGACACAACTGTATACATGTTACTGGAACATTTCTCATCTAAGATACTAAAAGAAAAAAATAGGGGAGGAGATTGCTTCTTAAAATGCAGTTAATTTTTAATGACAATCAGTTTCATTAGTGTAACTTTATTTGGAAAATTCATAGTATGGTGAATATTTACATTCACATTACACACATATATTGGCAAATATTAGCAAGCAAAACTTTCCATTCAAATGGCATCTCTCCATCTTCCTCTAAAAAGGACCAAAAGCTGGAAACCCATTCACCCTTCATTACCTGTTTTGGGTACCTTTCTGAAATATCTCCAAGATAAGGCAGAGTTAATCACAGTCATAATCAGAAGTGCAACCACTTATGCAAATCCTTCCTCAGAATCATATGAAGGACTTTTTTATTTCGCTGTAGTTCCAAATCACCAAATTTAGTCTCTGCTCATTAAAGTCTGAGGAGTCTGCTTCTCACACCACAACACAGTTTCTTCTCTTCCTAGTGCGAAGAAACATAAAAAAAATCGTAAGTGAGCTCTAGAGGGATGAGAGGGTCAAGAAATAGAACTGGTGTGATATCACACTTAGGCCAATGGTACAGAGGCATCTTGGAGTACTGTCAGGGAGAAAATGCCATATGACAAGACCACAGACCGAAGTGCACTTCAGTTAAAATTATTTATTTAAGTAAAGGGACAGCAAAAGTCTGATGGCTCATAACAACCAAATTTCCATGTGAGGTTCACAGCCAAATGTAACCTTGTTCCCAGCTTGGCACACAAACCCTCTAGGCTGCCTCCACATCCTGTCTGACATCTCTTTACTTGAAACGAGAGTGAACAGCACACTGCGGCAGTACAGGAAAAGTGGGTATGTAACATGTACAAATTGTTTAGCATAAATAAAGAAACTTCAATGCTAAAATATTTAAAAGGAAATTTAACGTGAGGATTAAAACTGTGCCAAAACAATACCATCTGCAGCAGTGTTGACATGATGCAAATATATTTGTGCCAGTGCCTTAAGTATTCTCTCCCTATCGCTTCAAAGAATCATAATCCGTCCTCTCAGAACCCACCTCTGTGGGAGCACAATCTGGCACGGTTTCTGCAAGACCAGAAACAAATGCAAAGCAAGGGGCTTACTGCTCAATGAAAAGAAATTTCAGGTTTAAAGAGGCAGTTCCAAAAGTCTGTCATGGCGGTTTTCCTATATGCAAGCGGATCGGGGGGGTTGTGGTGGTTTTTCATTTTCATTTGGAATAATTTCTGAGATGTCTGTGAAGTGTTTTACAAGTTGCACTCCACAACCATATTCCAGTGGTCAAAAACGTAGGTAACGCAGGCAGACGCATAGTAGTCAACAAGCAAGCAGCCAATGGCTTAATCATTTGTTAGAAGGCGATTTCCAGAAAAATCACAAAGGCAGGTTCACTATGTTCCGGTACAAGCCTACGCCCGTCATCACACATCGCACAGATGGGCATGGACGTCAAACTGGAGCGAATGATGGGAGCTTGAAACTTCTGGAGAGGGTGAAAGAATCAGGGAGATTTTAAAACCAAGGAACAAAGAACTACCAAGAACTTTGAAAAACAAACAATGGTGGAAGGGCAGCAGATTGGGTCTGTTACACATAACAAAAACATCCTGTTATTTCTGTCTCTTTCTTTCTGCCGCTTACTCACTGAACAAAAATAGCCCGATGTCAAAATGGCATTTTATCCTTCAAAATAAAAGCCCCTCTATCAATAGGAGTGCTTGATTGTTTTACTGGATGTAGGGAGTGCTTGACAATGAGGCACTCCTGGAAGCTCAGAGCAACAAGTTATGGAAGCTCATCACATTGCTCTCCGCAGGTAGCTACAAAAGTTGATCAAAGTGCAACACACTCGGGAACATTCCACAACTGTTACTGCGACTGGATTTGTTGATGGAGAGCTGAAGATGACTCTGCGTACCAGAGAGAGAGCAGGAGGATTAGACAGACAGAGAAGGCAGATCAACAAAAAGAAAGATAGAGAGGTTCCCAAGACAATCAGTTCATGCATACAAGGGGATTAGAACGTTTCCCTTTGCTTTCTGCAGTTTTATGGCACAGACCCATGGAAACATGTAATGGAGAGGATGACAGTACGTGGTGGTGTTGCCGTCCTTAAACTGGTTCCATTCTACACAGCAACCTGGAGCATCAACACTGTTCTTGAGACACGAACTGAAGCCGAGCTGTAAAACGCAACAAATGAATTTTGAATGAGATCATAGCTCAGAGTTCTTGAGATGATTTTCTACAAAACTGCAAAAAAGAGAAGGCTTCTCATCTCTTGACTTACGCCTGCTTCGTGAACCGTCACCATCTCGGAGTTCTTGTGCTTTTTCAGAAGGGGGACAATAACTCGCTCAAGACTGACACACCCTTCCAAATTTTACGTTATTTATTTATATTTTTTGCACCATACATGTATGACTCTTCAGAGCTAATGGGTTCAGGTTGTGTTAAATGCACTGTGCATTGCATTGTGTCCTTTACCTGCCTGCAAAGCAGATTCCCCCATCTGGGATGAAAAAGAAAAGTACGAAAACGCATCACAAGGACAGATGACTGCATTGATCGACACACTCGAGCAATTTTTTTCCCCCCACATCACACCTTCCTCAGCCCAGAGTGGCCTAATCATGGTGGCTCTCTATATGCAAAGAAGCTCAGCAAACAAATGTGCACTGAAATGATTGCGCCTGTTCATACTTTAGTGGCGAAAGCATCTGTCTGTTGACTTATTTCCCTTCCCAGTAGTGTCAGAAATACTGATTTATATGTACCTGAAGCAGAGATATCATGTGTCTCTATCTTGTAATTCAAATCAGCCTGTCTGTGGTACTATAGCCTGTAGATGTTCATTCGGGAAGGGCACTGGGAAACAAACAAGGTAACACCAGCGCTGTGGATCTGACATTTAACTGATTTCTAATGAAAAGTGACAAGAGATTGACATTAAATGAAATTCATACAGGACAGCAAGAACAACAAATGTGTAAAACAAACAGGAATTATCTGTCCTGCTCTCACACAGTAAATCAATGAGAGTACTTCATCTGCATTTAGCTGGAGTATTAGCACAGTCTTGTTTACTCGAGTATTATTACTTTATTCGCCTGTCCACCCAGCTTCCTAAACGCACAGAAACACACCGCTCCAAGACAATGCACAATGTTAACAACACTTTTCGAGAGGAGTTTAAATTGTAATCAATTTAAGCTCATTCATGATTATTTAAAACCTCAACAAAAAAAAGCAAATAAATGTTGAAATAGTTTAGCTTGGGCTGCCCAAACAGCCAGCAGATTATATTATATATGAAAAGGAATTAAATGACAACAAATGAATATTGAAAGCAGCAACATCTGTTGCAGTTTGAATGCATATTTTCAAGCAGTCTGTGTGTGTATTTTTAAAATATAAATGTTTAGCCAGTAAAACAGTGGTTGGTCCCTTTCACAGGAAAACTTGAACCCATCTACCATTTGCCAAAAATAAGCACTCATTTTAATCTGCTGGTTATAGATTTACTATCAGTTCCTCTTTCTCTCTTTGTTTTGTTTCAGAGTGTAACTGTAACAGAAAATTCTGATTAGTATTCAAGAGATGATGAAGTGAGAAAGAGAGAAAAAAAACACACCCACATCAACCAAAATTAAATGAAAATACACAAATATTTCCAAATCCTGATGTAATTAATATATTATATATTAAACATAATTATCCAACATGAGAAACTTGTATCAATACAAAAAATCCCCCACTCAGTTTAAAAAAATACGCTTAATTGAATTCATTCATCTCCTCCTGATTCATGTGAAGAGGTGAAATAACAGGGACAGGTCTTGCTTGCGGTCTGCGAAGTTTAAAATTAAGCCTGAGAGTCTGAAAATAAGATCTGAATTTTTGGGGGGGGACAAAAGAGAAGAAAAAATAGTAATTTTCTCTGATCTTGTACTTAAGAAGGAAGGAGAGTGCGTATCTGCAGGCAGCCTTACCCTGGAGGATTCGTAAGAAGGACTGGGCTGGCCCCCGGTGCCCCAGGACGATGTGCTTGTTCTCTCGTCCATACCTGTCATTGAAGAAGACACACAGCCACATCAGTCCAGCAGGCAAACACCAACCCCACTTGTCCCCTATAGCTCATACAGGTGCAGCAGCCCGCAGGCAGAGGCAGAAGTGAAGCCACACTTACACACAAAAGATACCACTAGAAACACATACAGTAGGTGGACAGACACACTGACAGCTATAATTAGCTTGTGTCGTTAAAAAAGAAATCGCATCCAAAAAGCACACATGGTAAAACTGCAGCTCTGCGTGTGTGAATCTATCACAAATGCAGCCTCTTTCCCGCTAGGCGACTTCAGATAGTCTCTTTTCCACACCAGACACAGAGTTCAACAAACAGGTATCCAGCCCCTTTTTAACCACTTCATCCAATCCGGGTGTTGAATTCAATTTTAACAGGTAACTGTGCAATGTTTTGTTTTTTTACTACCACATGTTTATTGTTCTCTACAACTTATCTGTTGGTCTGGTTGTTCCTATTTATTCTGTACCACTCTATAATGCGCTGTCTACATTGTGTGGTGTTGTCTGCTGTACTGTGCCTGGCCCGAGAGATCGGCGCAAATATGAATTCCAATGTACAGGTGTAAATGTGGCAATAAAACACCTCTACTCTCAGGGTCGCAGGGGAGCTGGAGTCTGTCTCAGTAAGCCATGGGCGCAAAGCGGGGTACACCCTGGATAGGACACCTGTCCACCACAGGGCCGACAAATGCGCACATACACACGCCGGGGCTAACTTTTCCACAAGCCAATTAACCTACCAGTATGTATTTGGACAGGAAAACCCACGCAAATAGGGGGAGAGCATCCACAAACTGCACAAAGCGAGCAACAGCGCCGATTCCACCCTATGTCTGGAATTGAACCCGGGGCTCCAGAGTTACAAGACAATCCAGCCAACCACTGTGCCACTGTGCCAGCCATTTGAACAAACAGGAATTTCACAACCATCTTTGGTAAATCTTCATCTCGCCCTCACAGCACAGATGAGAAATCATATCACCATGAAATCTTAACTCAACCCAGTCATCAGACAAACTTCTGCCATTCTACCGGCAAATTAAACAATGGTCTGACAGTATTCCTGGAAGCTGATGACTAACGTGTTCAAGAAACTTTTTTTTTTAAGTCTGCATGGCTAGCTCAATTATTAAGGCAATTCACCATGCTTCATTTATTTTGGTTTATATAAGTAACACATGCAAATTTCAAAGCACGCTTTACAAAAGTATACATTTAAGTTTGCTAAAAAGCAATTTAAACAGAGAAAGAGATTGGCAATGATTTAGAGCCTGACCCTATAAAAGCAGCTGAGCATCTTAATTTAATAAAACTCATTTTAAAATCACAATGTTGCCAAAGACAAAAAAGAGTATACTTTATTGTATGGATTCAACATCTGCTATGTGATGAACAAATGTAATATCTAACCCAGCAAATTACATTTATGGAGACTCTACTCAGTTCAAAAATATGAGTTTTCTCTCTCCTAATGTCCTTTTATCCAATATTGTTTGCAGGTAACAATGTTCCTTCCATAGATCCTTGTATAAGCTAAATAATTGTAAACCGGAATTTTGCAGAAAACTCAAGTTATTGATCGCACTTTTCATATAAATGCATTTCACTAAGAAGTATTATAGTTTATTCAATTTTTTTTCACATACAATCACTCACTAAAAGTACGAAGATGTATTTTTTTTCAAAAATTAAGAAAGCAGAAAAAAGTTTGAAAAATACTTCATGTCTAAATTAGCTTTATATAATCCTAAAAAGACATTTCTCAAAACAGTTCAATACAATTTGTAAGACAAATAATCTCTATAATATTATTACATTTAAAGATATTCAAACACCCTGCAGGAAACACCCTTACATTTTCACACTGTTCCCAAGTGCAACGCTTAATTTCTTTAATTTGTTAGGATAATTTTGGGGAAATGAAACAATAATTAATTAGAAGAATATATTCCTATAAGTGTTTTAAGGTGCACAGAATATGTAGGAATAGCTCTCATTTTAATTCCAGAATCAAGAGATTGTTAATTTCCTGTGCAAACGCTTCAGTCACTTGGTGCAGAGTTTTAGACCGTTAATTCCTGTAATGACACACACTTGTCTCTTTCTTACAGTAACTTCTGACAGATTTTCCTTCAATCTATACATTCTGCTCCCTTGTGCTTTGAGATGTGCCTGCCCTTACAGCGGTCTCTAGTGAACCTCTCATCAGCTCTGTGCAGTACCTGTCAGTGGTGTAGCGCTTTTTAACCCCTTCCGACTACATCTCAAGCACAATCAAGGGCGGTTAACCAACAATGGAAGGAAAGCCATGTGCACTGAGCTGCCTGGACAGCGCAGTGAAATGCCTGCTCGTCAGTTTCCTTGCTTCATGCATTTTCCAGGTACCTAGCGAAATATCTCAAAGCAACCACATCTCGAACCCCCCGTCCAAAAACACGACTGAGTTACCCAGTAAAGTATGAGAAATTGAAAGCAGATACTGGGCATTTCATGTTTTTTATGAAAAACGGACAAAGAAAAAAAAGTTTCATTTACCAATTTAACAGAAAGGCCGTCTGCTCTGCCCCGAGAATTATCGTACTGCCCAAACCCACAAGAAAGCCAAAAGGTCTAGAAACGAAACTGGTTTTAAAAATGAATGACTTGGGTTTTGCCAATGAGTGCAAGTAATGAAGAAGTACCTCAAGTTCCAGAATTAGACTGGTTTTAAAAGCCAGGGTGGCCAACAGAAATAACGGTCAGGATGATCAGCACCATCTGTGTGACCTGGCTTCCTTACATTTTCTGTACAGAGTGAAGGTCATCTGAGACCCAGACATGGAAATCAAGAACCGAAATAAAAACTGACCGCATGATACTAACCCCACCACCCTGTCTGGAACAAGTATGTTATAACGCAACGCTCTGTCCCCACAGAGAAACCTCAAGAAGTACAACCTGGGCCGCTCCTCCGAACAACGCTGTCCTCGGGCCAACATTTCTTTCAGAGCAGGAGTCGGGACAATAATCAATGATTCCGATGATCGATAACTTTTCGCATCAATTAAGATTATCGTTCCGCAAAATGTATTGGCAAAAACTGTAATTGTCATCGGTCCGTATCACAACTAATGGGGGGACCAATAAGGACGGAGCACAAGGTAGGGTGGGATTGGTCGTCCTGGGCTCTTTCAGTTACACAGACCCTTCAACTGCTTGTCCGCACTTCCTCATTGTCTCCCGTGTGCAGTAACGGGGTCGGCAATCAAAAGCCGAGACGTGAACAATACGCACCTGGCTACAGCGAATCGGGTGAACGGGTACACAAAAAACAGACAGCATCCGTACACTTAAAAGCGCATTCCTGTTGAGGGGCCATGTAACCGAAGCCAATCACTTGGAGCCTTTGAGGAAACAGCAAAATTGGCAACTAGCTAATTAACAAATCGGCTACTACCAAACAAATGAGCTAGAAGAGCCGAATGGACTTTTTGGTTTTAAGTACTGCTTGCAAATAAGAATGGGTCTGGGCTGAAGAAGCCCAGTAGAAAGAAAAGCACCTGCAAACTGTCTGCAGGAGGCACGTTTCATGCAAGTAGTGACATGTAGCAGCCAGCATGGCTCATGGCAAGCCAGTGAGCTCAAACTAACACGGCCTCATTAAGGACTTCCAAGTATTTGTCTCTGTCTTCTTTCCGCATTGACTTGTAGCGGAAATACAATTAAATACTGCCCAAATACAATTTAGCTATTCAGCCAATAACTGAGAGAGTACAACTGCCAGATGGTTACTGACAGCTGGATATATTATCCCTTATCCCGGTTTTGAAAAAAATGCTATGCTTGAAAATCAGCAGGTGGCACTGCTGGTTATGCAAAACTCCCAGCAGCTTTTAAAGGAGTACAGCAACAGCAGCGCTTTTTTCACACACATGGATCCAAAAAAGCTGGAAATCAGCTTTATTCACAGAAAATAAAAATCATGAAACAGAAAATTCCCGACAGTAGAACTACAAGTTAAAAATGGTGAAGTAAGCAATCCACTGAACTGTATGAATAGCGGTAAAACATCGCCTCATTAAACTACACAAAATCCTATGTATATCTTTTATTTAAAGTGAAGGAAATTACATCATCCAGAATGAGTCAATGCTCTTCCCCATGGACCAATAAAGAACTACAGTTCATGAGTAATACATTTTTTTCCTATGAAATCAATTATTTATATTTCTGATAAATGTTGAGGTTAAGATTTTAAGAAAACATAGGAGAACTTTAAAAAGCTGTAAGAAATCTCCAGTGCCTCTGGACATTGAGTATCACTGCATTTGGCAGCTCTAAAGAGAACTTTTCCTGTGTTTCTTCTGCTGTGACTCAGCTGCTTTAACCATCTTCTAAGTCCTTCAAGACAAAATGTCATACGATCCTGCACCCCGGATGTGTCAGACATGTACAAAGTGTAGTTTAGCAAGTGAAAGCTACTGGTTCCTGCTGTATGACCACGTTTTTGTCCCCCCCCATTGAGCATTACAAAGATGTGCAATTAACGTCTTTCCCACTGGCCAGTCTCATTTTTTCTCCATGACAGAAGAGTGGTTTCTCACAAAACTTCCATCCATTTCCTGTCCCCGAAACAGATACACCCTGGACAGGACTCCTGTCCACAGCAGGGCACACAGACACACTCACGCAAGGACCGATTTCACCCACACGCGAATTACCAGCATGTCTTTGGAGTGCGGGAGGAAACCAGAGCAGCCGGAGCCAACGCATGTGAACATGAGAAGAACATACAGACTCCACGCAGACAGCACCGCAGACCTGGAATTGGACCCAGGGCCCCAGAGCTGCAAGGCAGTAATGTCAACCACAGCGCCACCATGCCACCCTGCTTGTAAAACTTAACATTCATAGAATTAAGGAACGTCTTCTGTTTTGTTTCCAGTTGTTGCTTGTAGTCGGAGTTTCCTCTTAAGTTAACATTACAATACACTTTAG